GTCCATAACATTCAAATTCATAGTTATGATTACTAACTGTGCATTTCCCTCCATACTATTTTCTTCTGTTTATCCTTCTCTTTCTCCCTCCCCCCCTGAATCCTGTTTCTCCTCTAAAGTCTGTTTTGCTTCAGACCACTGCCTTCTTTTATCTGCTCTCCCTATTATCACTCCACCCCACTTTTCTTTTATCCCCTTACCCTCCTGCTTCTCTGTTGGGTAAAATAGATTTCTATTACCAATTGAATATATATATATATATATACACACATCTCATATACACACACACACACACACACACACACACACACACACACACATCTCTGAGGAGAGGTGTGGTCACTGCTCTCTGCACTCTGCACTCTGGTCCTTACCCAGGAAGGAGCCCTGATCCCTTGAGACTGGAAAAGATACTGTTCCTCAGGGTCTCTGATCTCTTGGCAATGGAAGTGATACTTCCCTTAGGGTTTCCACTCCCTCTTGATTGAAAGTGATCTTCTCTTCCCTTGAACCATGACCCAGAATTGGGTATAGGCAATGAAGTGGCCAAATAGCCTTTGGTCCTGCATCTAGTACTAGCATGGGGGGCCCTATAATCTCTTTCTGACCAGTTGCCAGCTTCCCTTACCACCTTTGGCTTGAGAGCTCTTGAAGCTGCTGCTTCTATCACCACCATCTAGTCCCACCACTGGTATTTCATACAGCCTCTTCCCCCTTGTCACAGATCTCTCTTTCTGACCTCTTATGTTGTCTTGGACTAGAATAATGTCTCACTCTGGCCTTTTGTTGGCTCTGCCACATCAGAATTTTATTTGAGGCATTATTTTAAAGTTGGAGGGGAATATTGGGAGAGCTAAGGTGAGTGCTTTCTCTACTCTGCCATCTTTGCTGCATTTGTTGAATAAATAGAATGAGGGGATTGAAATGAGATGAACTTTAAGGTGCCTTCTAGATCAGATACCTTATGATTCTAACAAGATTTGTTCCAAGTCCATTTAGATATATCATGAGTCACATTCTGAGCCCTGAAACATCACTTCACACAACAGCAGTAGCAGCCACTGCAGCTATTGCCATGGCAACAATTCATATTTATATAGTGTTTTAAGGTTCACAAAGCACTTTCCTTATGACAGTTCCGTGAGGTAAGTAGTGTAAAGTATCAATGTCCTTGCTTTGGAGATGGAAAAACTGAAGTTTAGAGAGTTGAAATGACTTGTCCCATTGGGAATGGTGGAGCAGCAGGAATACTCACCATTGCTACCCACCAAGGCCCCCCTCCCCTCTCCTCACCACTATCTCTTAGTTTCCCTAGATTCCTTTAAGGCTCAGCTCAAAGCCCATCTTCTATAAGACATCTCAGTCTCCCAGCTTCTAATGCTTTCTCCCTTCAGATCGCCTCCATTTGCTCCATATATTACTTGTGTATGCCTGATTATTTATATATTGTCTCCCCCATTAAAATGTATTTCTTCAGGGTAGAGGCCATGTTTTTGCCTTTCTTTGTATCTCCAGAGCTAGCATAGTGCCTAGAACTTAATAAGTAAGCAGTTAATAAATGCTTGTTAGCTCACCATCATAACTTAAGTTCCAGTATTCCCCTTTACATGGCTTCTGTTTGCTCCAAGAAAGATGGACAATATTATGTCCCTTAAATGTGACTTACGCTTTCTTGCTTCCATGCCTTTGCTATTTCTATCCCTTCTACTCAAAATGCTTTCCTTCTCATTTCTTCTGGTCAAAATCTTACTCATCCTTCAAAGATCAGCTTGAATACTACATTTCAGATGAAATCTGTTCACATCCACTGTGCTTTGTGAAAGTGATTCCATTGAGGAAGCCAAGATGGCAGAGTAGAGGCAGGAACTCACTTGAATTCTCCCACCATTCCCTTCCAAACAATTTTGAAACAATGCTTCAAATTGAATCCTAGAGTGGCAGAGCCAACAAAAGATTGGGATGAAACTATTTCCAGCCCAAGACAGTTTAGGAGGTTGGCAGGAAGAGTCTATCACACCAGTGTGGCAATCTGGCCTGGAGCACAGCACAGGCTATGCCCTAACACCAGCAGCAGATGTTGGAGGTATCCGCAACAACAGCAACAGCTTCAGGAGCTCCCAGCCCACAGATGGTAAGGGGGTTGGACAAATGGTCAGAAATAGATTAGATGGGATCCTTTGCTGGCACTGAGTTCAAGGCCCTGTTTTATTGCCCATTAGTCCCAGTTCTGGGGTGAAGAGGAGTACTAGTACTGGTGGCCATAGGGGAGCAGGGGCCTTTATCACAGTTTCAGGGCAGAGAAGAGTTTTTGTGGTCACTTACAAGGGAGCAAGGTCTTAGTTCCAAGGAAGAAGGAGTACCAGCGCTTGTGGCTGCAGGAGAGCAAGAGACCTGGTCACAATTCCAGGGCCAAGAGGAGCACTAAGACCTGTGGCTACAGAGGAACTAGGTCCCTTCCTGGGTGAAAACCAGAGTACAGGCCAGGAGAGCAGTAAGCATATCTCTCCTTAGAACATACCAATTTGAAAGCACCAAAAGTAGTTCTCAAAACAGCAGCACAAAAAACCTGAAGCTTGAGATGGTATCTTCTCTACCCTAGGAGCGGAATCCAACTTCAATATAAAGTCAAAAGTCCAGAAATAGGTTGGAAAATGAGCAACCAAAAAAAAAAAGAACTTAACCATAAAAAGTTACTATAGTGACAGGAAATATCAAGACACAAACTCAGAAGACAATGATGTCAAAATCAAGCAAGCCTCAAAGAAAAATGTGAATTGGACACAAGTCCAACAAGAATTCCTGGAAGAGCTCAAAAGGTTTTAAAAAATCAAATAAGAGAAGTAGAGGGAAAATTGAGAAAAGAAATGAGAATGATGCAAGAAAATTAAGAAAAATGAGCCAGCAGCTTGGTAAAAGAGGCACAAAAAATATTGAAAAAAATAGCATCGTAAACACCAGAATTGACCAAATGGTAAAAGAGACACACAAATCCACTGGAGAGAAGAATACTTTATTTTTTGCTTTTTGTTTTGGTTTTTTTTTTGTTAGGCAATGGGATTAAGTGACTTGCCCAGGGTCACACAACTAGTAAGTGTTATATGTCTGAGGCCGGATTTGAACTCAGGTCCTCCTGAATCCAGGGCCGATACTCTATCCACTGTGTCACCTAGCTGCCCCAAGAAGAATACTTTAAAAAGCGGAATTGGTCAAATGAAAAAAGAGTTACAAAAATTCTCTGAAGAAAAGAACTCCTTAAAAAGTAGAATTGGGCCAATGGAAGAAGAGGTACAAAAGTTCACTTAAAAATTAGAATTGGGCAAGTGGAAACTAATGACTCCATGAGAGGTCAAGAAATAGTAAAACAAAGTCAAATGAATGAAAAAATAGAAGAGAATGTGAAATATCTTATTGGAAAAAAAACTGACCTGGAAAATAGATTGAGGAGATTTAATACTTATTGAACTACTTGAAAGCCATGATCAAAAACAGAGCTTACACATCATGTTGCAGGAAATTATCAAGAAAAATTTCCCCAATATCCTAGAACAAGATGGTAAAATAGAAATGGAAAAAAATCTACTAATTACCTCCTGAAAGAGATCCCAAAATGAAAACTCCCAGGAATATTGTAGCCAAATTCTTGAGCTCCCAGGTCAAAAAGAAAATATTGCAAGTAGCCAGAAAGAAACAATTTAAATACTGTGGATCCACAATCAGCATACACAAGATTTAGCAGCTGTCAGAGTGAAGGAATGGAGGGCTTACAATATGATATTTCAGAAGGAAAAGGACTTAGGATTATAACCAAGAATAACCTGCCCAGCAAAATTGAGTATAATTCTTCAGGAGAACAAAAATGGACATTTAATGAAATAGAGGACTTTCAAGTATTCCCAATAAAAATACCAGAACTAACAGAAAATTTGACATTCAAACAGAATACTCAAATGAAGCATAAAAAGGCAAACATGAAAGAGAAATAATAAGGGATTCAGTAGGATTAAACTGTTTGCATTCATGTGTGAGATGATACTTGTAATTCCTAAGAACTTTGTCATTATTAGGGCAGTTAAAAGGAGTATATGGAGCAGCTAGGTGATGTAGTGGATAAAGTTCTGACCTTGGAGTCAGGAGGATCTGAGTTCAAATATGACCTCATACACTTGCCACTTACTAGCTGTGTGACCCTGGACAAGTCATTTAAGCCTGATTGCCTCACCAAAAAAAGCAAAAAAAAAAAAAAAAAAAAAAGAGTATACATAGACAGAAGGCATGGGTGTGAATTCCCTATGATGGAATAATGTAAGAAAATAAAATTAATGGGTGAGAGAGAGGATGGGAGAAGGGGGAAGGGAGAAAAATAATGGGGACATTATTTCACATAAAAGAGGGATGAAAGGCCTCTTTTACGGAGGAGGGAGGTAGTGGGTAATGCTTGATTACTCTTATCAGGAATTGGGTCAGCGGGGCCTCCCCCGGCCTGGCCTTTGTGTGGCCGGCCCGAGCCTCCGGCGCTGCCGGCACAAAGTGCCCCCCCCGGCCGGGTCCGGCGGCCAGCGGCCCGCGCCCCGCTCTCGGCCCCCGACTTTCCCACCCGCTCCCTCGCGGTCCTCGCCCCTACAGGCCCCTGGGCTGAGGCCGCCCCGCGGACCGGCTCTTTCCTGGCTAATCCCCTTGTTTCTTTTTCTGTTTTCTTTTCCTACTTGCTCGTAGATTTCTCTCATCTCGTCACCCTTTGCCATCCCTCTCTCTTGCCCCCTCCCATAAATATACGTGCGTGTAGCCCACCCACCCAGCCGAGAAGGCCGCTTCTCGCATGGAGGCTCCCGGCAGCGCCTGCTCCCTATGGATCCCCGGGGCTGCCGCCGCGGCAGGACAGACTTCCCGCCGTGCAGGAGGAAATGTACTTTGAGTAATGGAAAATCACTTCTACCAGCCAGCCAGTGTTACTCCATCCAGAGCTGCTGGTGACATCTTAAATCTCGAGTGCAAAGGACACAATGTTTGCAAGAGGAATAAGGAGAAAATGTTTTGATGGTGAAGAAGATATTGAAGGGACCCTGGCTGGTTTTAAGTCTGTTCCCTCATATAATCTTTAGCGGCAATCACTTTTAGACGTGTCTTTGGTAAATATTCAGTTGTGCCACATGCTTGTTGAACCTAATCTGTGTCGATCGGTTCTTGTAGCAAATACTGTAAGACAAATTCAAGAAGAAATGACCCAGGATGGAACTTGGCAAGTGATAAATGCTCAGGATGCAGGACAGGCTTCTCTTGATCGCCTAGTATCATCAGATGTACTTTGTTGTTCAACAAAAGAACAGGGTGAAGGGAAACGATCCAAGTTATAGTAGTTTCTCAAAAGACTTTGAAGATATCCAGTCCCAAGATATTATTTCTGACCTGTCCACGATTGCATCAGTACAAGCTCCAAGAAATCCTCAAAGTAATGTTTGGGAAATGGAGAACCCTCAAGAAAATAGGGGAAACTTTCAGAAGTCACTAGATCAAATATTTGAAACATTGGAGAACAAGAATCCTAATTCTGTAGAAGACTTATTTTCAGATGTTGACGATTCTTATTATGATCTTGATACAGTATTAACAGGAATGATGAGCAACACAAAAATGGGACATTGTGAAGTGCTTGAGAGCTTTTCATCTCAAACATCCACAAATTCTAACTCAAATTGTAAATCTGATATAAATGAGCTTGACCATATTGTGGAAATCCTTGTTGAATCTTGAAATGGTTAAATACAAAGCATGATTCTTTGAAGAAGCTGAGAACATTTGAAAAAACATGCCTTCAAATAGTTTACTATCAAATGTATATGTAATCTACATAAAAGCTAAAAAGCACTTCATTTTGTGAAATAGTGTTATCTTGAAAGCTAACATGCTACTTGCCTTTTGACAATTTTGGTTTGTTCACTGAAATTTAAATATAGACTCTAACAAATAGTTGCAGGGTATGAAGTTTAGTGTACTTAAACTATTACTTCCTCAAGGCAGAGGGGAGACTGGTACAATGGGTTCTTGACTTTTCATTTAACATTTTTTTCAGGGCCTATACTTAAACTCCCAGTTGCCCTGATTCCTTTACCTTCCCTCTTTCTTTTTCAGCTACAGTCACCATCCTTCAACTTTATTAGTCTAGATAGATTTTTTTTATTAGTTTTGTATGTTTTGGGCAATATTTTGCCCCTTAAAATATATTTTTGAAAATTTTTATACTTCTATCAGTGTTTAGATTTTCCAGTTATTTTCCTAAAAGTATATTTTTACTATAAATGTCCTTTCTGCTGCTACTTCTGTAACTTTTTCATAGTATAAACACTTGGAATTGGTGTTTTTCTGTTAAAATTTTAAAAGGATTTTCATTTTTCAGAATGAACTATATTATATAGTTCAGTAAATTGTAAATATATGACATGCTTTAAAATGTAAGAGCTGTTTTCATAATCGTGTAGTTCTTTATCAAAGTTGAGAAACATGTATTGCTTTTTATACTTGAGCATTGTTGGAAGGAAAAAAATACTGATCCATAGATACAGTTCTATTAAAGCCATGTTTCATGTTAATTCTGAATATAAATTATGTAGGGTTTTATTTATGTATGTTTATATGTAAATGTCATCACGGTGAACTGTTTATCATTGAAGTCTAGGGTCAAATTTGTTTATGTGGGAAAACTCTTGCACTAATTACTAACTGAAGTGTTATTGGGGCCTTTGAATCTCTATCATTGTGTTCTTTTGTTTATCTAAATTAGTATGTTTTACTCCAGTGTAAGTTTTCTGTATGGCTGTTCTTCCTTTGAAAGATGTTGCTTAGGTCTTTTATCTACTTTAAATAAGAAATACATTTGTTGTAGAGTGTATTTAATAAATATGTCAGGGTATCCATTTAGGAAAGGGTAGCTTAATATTAGAATGAGAAATCCAATTTTACTGTATTAAGCTGTGCCTGGAATTTTTCTTTTAAATCAGACAGTAGTCTGCTTGAAATAGATTTGTATACATTTGGCTGTGGCACCTCATTAGATTTTGAAAAAGATAAAAGTCAGTATGGAAGTTGGAGTAGCAGAAGTAAAATTGGAAAGATTTGGGAAATGGAATCTAGACTGCTTAAGTGCAATGAGGAACAAAAAAGTTGAGAATCAGGGAAGGACTTTCTTTCCCCAAAGACGTCTTTCTCTCTTCAAGGGAAAAAAAAAAGCTTCCATATTTCTTGTCTTAAACTTTTTCTGTTCCCATATAGATTGGTATAAATGTCACTTCTAATACTTTCTCAGATTTCTTGTGCATTTGACTAATAAGTATTTTAATATGAATATTCAAAGAATTGTAAAAGTTTGTGGGATTTTTTTTAAAGAAAAATGTAATTAAACATAATTGGCAAAATTCTAAAATGTGGATTAAGATTTATACCAGAAATTAGTATAATTATGTGCATTGGAGTCTTATTTCATGATTTTTAAATAATTTTTTAAAAATAAAATGTTTGACTAAAAATTTAAAAAACAAAAAAACCAAAAAAACCAAAAAGGAATTGGCTCAAAGAGGGAATAACATACACACTCAGTTGGGTATAGAAATTTATCTTAACCTATCTTAGAACTTAGCAATTTGGAACTATGCCCAAAGGGCCATAAAACTGTGCATACCCTTTCACCCAGCAATACCACTATTGAGTCTGTACCCCAAAGAGATCAAAGCAAAAGGAAAAGCACCCATACATACAAAAATATTTATAGCAGCTCTTTTTGTGGTGGCAAAGAATTGGAAATTGAAGGGATGCTCATCAATTAGGGAATGGCTGAACAAGTTGTGATGTATAAGATTGTGATGGAATACTATTGTACTATAAGAAATGGTGAGCAGAATGGTTTCATACAAACCCAGGAAGAGTTATGTGAACTGATGTAAAGTGAAGTGAGCACAACCAGGAGATCATTGTACACAGTAACAGCAATATTGTACAATGGTCAACTGTGAATGGCTTAGCTTTTCCAGTCAGAGCAATGCAAGTCACCCCATTTACTGCAGTTCCCTCATATGTAAAATGAGTTGGAGAAGGAAATGGCAAACCATTCCAGTATCTTTGCCAAGAAAATCCCAAATAGGGTCATGAAGAGTCAGACATGACTGAAAACAACTGAACAACAACAAAAAGACAATTCTGAAAAACTTAGGATGAAAAGTGCTAGCCACCTCCAGAAAAAGAACTGATAGAGTCTGAACGCATATTGAAACATACTTCTTTTTCTTGAAACATGCTTTTAAAACTTTCATTATTTTTCGTCTTTTTTTAATCTGTTTTCTTTTGCAATATGGCTAATAAGGAAATATGTTTTCCATGACTTCATATGTATAATCTACATCAAATTACTTGCCTTCTCAAGGAGAGGGGCAGAGAGGGAGGGAGAGAATTTATAACTCAAAAAATTTTTAAATGAATGTTTAAAATTTGTTTACATGTAATTGAGAAACATTTAATGAAATAAAAATATATTGGGAGATATAATAAAAATAAAGAAAAAAGAAAGCGATTCCACTGTGAGTTCCCTATGTGGATTAACTCAAGGTCCAGACCATAAAAAAAATTACCTGTAGTACTCTTTATTGGCTCAAATGAAATAATGCAAATATAATGCTTTACAAACAGAGTAGGGTGATAGAAACATCAGCTAGGTCGTGTAGTAGATACAGTACTTGTCTCAGGGTCAGGAAGACCTGCCTGAGTTCAAAGCCAGCCTCAGACACTTATTAGCTGTGTGACACCTAACCTCTCTGAGTCCTAGTTTCCTCCTCTGCAAAATAAGGGTGATAATAGCACCTACCTCATAGAGTTGTGAGGCTCATGTGAGATAACATATGGAATGGACTTTGCAAACCATAAAGTACTATATCAGCTATTATTATAATTATTGTTGTTGTTGTTATCTGTCCTTATCTCCTTCATCATTCTTCCCCACACCTCAAAGATATGCCTACCCATTCTGTCTTCTTTTCCTGCAATCTCAGAGTAACAAGTGATTCTTCTAATGCTTCGACTTGTGCCTTTGACTCCTGCTTTCTACCAAGTCTTCTTATAAATTCACCACAAGAATACACTCAAATACTAGGTATCTCCTTTGTGTTCTCTTGACATTGTAAGGATATATGCAGGCTTTCCATTGGTTACTCCTGAAAATGCTGAATTCAAATTTAGAGGAATTTTCCATTTTGATAGATATCAGACCTGCAAGGTAGATATCCCTTGAAAAAATATTGCAGCACAAGGCAACTACTTCTCCCCTCACTGCTGTTTTTCTTTTTTATTGAGAATTCCTGCTTTTCCTTTACTTGTAAATGCAGAGACCCTGATTCAGAGCTCAATAAAAGAAGATGAATACAAGGATGCCCATGTGTCTACTTAAAATGGTAACAAAATATCAGTGAGCAACACAGCTCTCCCACATACACTTCATTAATTCAGAAATATAATTTCCATTCAATAATGAAGGAAATGATTATTAATAACCAATGATTTGGGGAGATCGAGTTCCCCCTTTTTTCTAAAGTTCTCATTTCAAGGCTCAGTCTCTGAAGGACATAATGAGATTAAATTAACTTCCTCCTCATTCTTGGTCAGACCCCACCAAGGTGGGGAAGGCTATTGTGCTTTACAAAGGTATGGGTGAGGATAAATTCTTTGATTAGATTGCCCAAGGCTGGGCAATTTAGATGTAAATGACATAATCAAAGTTACATCCTTCAGTCCCTCATTAGAATAGGTCCACCTCTCATTGTAATATTCATTTTTTCTCATTAACTGTTGTTAATTAGAGTTGATTGCCACCCTCAGAAACACCCACTCTTCCAAAGGCATATAAACTGTGAGCTGACCACCATGATTCATCTTTGGCATTCAAGAGTGTCACTGACCCATTTTATTGGTAATATGCTAGCATTATTAATAAAACTATTCATTACCCAGAAATTATGTCTCTTGAGCTTTTTAAACATCACAATAGTCATTTATTCTGCATCTACTATATTCAAGGTATTGTATTAGTGATTGGGGATGCAAAGGCATATCAAGTTTTATTTTTCTTCTAAAATATGTGTGTGTGTGTGTGTGTTTGCTTAGTTGTCTCTTGGGGGACATGAATCATTGAGATACCCACTTGTCCTCTTTTAAAAGAAACCAGTATACACAATTCCCAACTAGTAGAATAGTTGAATTTGGGGTTAGGGGAGGGAAAAAGGAGGAGCTATGATCCCACCAAGGCTATGTACCATGTATTCCTGGGGCTTGAAATTCACTGGGATTCTGAGTAATATAGTCAAATGTTACTCTGCTCTCCAGCAGTAAAGGGAAGTTCCTAACTGAGGTCATTGGTTAAACTCTGATATTATTTTGGGTGTATTTTATACTATGACTTTTTCCTGCATAAGAAATGACCAATATTTTCAGTTATTAAAAATAAACACACAAAGCCCACTTCAATTTCAACCAAATACTTGGCATTTCATCCAGCTAGTTGCCTTGGGCTGGCTAAACATATTTGACTGTTCATATGTCATTTCCTATCACTGCCCCGATGTGATTTTGTTAACAAAAGAAGGATCTGTACCACTGAAATCAGTTGTCCTTCTCATCTTGCTGAGTACCTATCAGCAAGCAGAAGGCTCAAGAAACAATGATTTCCTTATGCCACTCAAAATGTTAAAATATGAGTGTCAGTGATGACAACTAGTATGAGAGTAATATTGTTTGAGATTTTTGTAGAC